GGGGAGAGGAATAGGTACAAGCAGTCTGCCTTCCTCAAAGGCCCTGCTAATATTAGTACCTTTCTGTGGTTTGCTCCAGTTCTGCTTTTTTACCTCTGGGACTGTTTCTTCAACCATATCAGGACCTAATAGATAGCTGAGGTTTCCCTTATGGAAGAAAGAGGGCACTGGGGAAGTGCACTTCCTTTTGTGGCATCTAGGAGTGTGTCCAGAAACTATTTCACTGGGTCTGAGCTAGGCTGAATTTCGAATACAGATGCCAAAAAAACTAGTACAAAACTCTTGAAAATGAGGTTGTAGCCCTTGATTTTTTTTGCAAGAGGTTGGAGACTAACACAAGATTACAGACTTTGTGTTGAGAGCAAGTGTTCACATTCTGTGTATTCTACAGGAGGAACAAAATGTCTTTATGCTGCAGTGTGAAGCGTTGCTTAATTACAGCCTTATTTCATTCTTCTAAACTTCGTAAGAACACAGATTCTTTCCAACTGACTCATTCATTTGAACTCTTCCATGCATCATCGTGCCATTTAAGGGCCTTTACTTGCAAACAGTCATCCCTGCTAAGGGATGTGTCAGTGTATGGGTCTCTATTCAAAAAGATCTGACCCCTTGGTTGCTAAACAGCACACTCTGGAGTTCTCTGTGAGTGTCCCCTTTCCTCTAATGGCCATTTTTAGTGTAACTTTGAGCTGTAACAATCTCTTAGCAGCCTATCAATAGTTAACTGAAGTGTACCATGGAGAGAGTAAAGAGTTCTAAGAATTAAAGAGAAAACATTTCTATTATACCTGAGAAGAAATTTTAATTATTTCCAGAATATATTGAACTGCTTGGTGCTTACATTCAACTTACATTCAACTGTATTCGTCATCTCTTTAGTTTTGGACTTTGTGGCCTGTTTTGAGTTTTGTGATGTTAAAACTTGTCTTTTTGCTATGGCTTCCTGAAATACAATTATTAAAGACAATAATATTGACTTTTGTGTCTTCACAGAACCATTCTCATGATCATTTATTAGACACTAGTGACTCAAGAAAACAGCAAGCTAACCAGCACAACTACCGTACGAGATATGCAGTAGAAGAAACTGCAAGGCCTGCTGAAGAGTTAGAAAATGGACACAGTTCCTCAGATGTAAGATTTCTTTTCATCAGGGGATCTTATATAGTCCATTTCTACTCCTTAAGCTCCTGCTTCAGCTAATTAAACACTGTTTATAGTGGAAACTCAGATCACATTTCTGATTGTGCTTTTTCTTTCACCACTTTAAAAAATGATGTTGAATTAGGTTTTCACATGCTGTTGCATGGGTTTTGTTTTGACTAAAAATTAATTTTAAAAGGGGAGAAACATTCATCTGTGAGGGCATTTTGCAAAGTATATGTGTGCAATGTTGTGTCTTCCCTGTGTATGTAAGCCTAATCAGCATGGCCCATAAGGCCTAGCAGTATCGTGGCCTTGCTTGCGCAGGGATGTTGGATAATATAGCTTCCAAAGGTCCCCTCCAGCTTCAACCTTTCTGTGCTTCTGTAGCTACTGTAAAGAAATGAGTAATAAGAGTATATAAAGTTTATATGGGGTTTTTCTTTTATACTAATTGAAAAGATGTGGAAATACTGCATTAACAAGACTGGAAATAATTTTCAGAAATACGGTAGCCCTTCTAAATGGAGACTGAGAAGCACTTGGGTCTCCACTGGCTATATGTTTTTAAAATGTTGCTCTACACTGTGTCTGTCTAGCCATAGGTATTTTCTTACCACTTTTTATTTAAGTCCATTAAAGCAAGGTAGCTATCTGCAAAATGCCTTTTTGACAACATAATGCTTTTATAGTCATATCAGCATGTATTATAACTTTTTTGAGTTCCAAAGAAAATGGTTTATTTTTCCCTGCCTCCCCTCTGCACCCTGTTCCTTAGGAAGGGGAAATCGTTGTTGCCAGTGGTGGAACATCAGAAGATGATGAAAGAGCGTGGCACAGTGATGGCAGTTCTAGGTAAGTAGCAATATATCATACAGAGAAAGCTCTTTTATCATAAATAATCTTCTCTGTAAACAGTTAACGAGTAATACCTAAAACTTGTGCAGATTTAGAAGAAAAGATGAAAAATAACTTCAAACTTTCAGGATTTTATTTCCAGCTGCATTACTAACTAAAATTTAGGGAAGGTTTCATCCTTGTTTGCCAGACGCAGAATTTTTTCCAATTGTTTTTGCAGGAGGGTAATTCTTTGCAGGTGCATGCATGCTTCAGGCATGTGGCATCAGCTTCTGATGACTGTCAGTCTGAGCTGACCCTGGGTTTGAAATTAGATAGCAAAGATTGAGGTCGCTTCAGCCCATCCTTTGTTTCTTCTTTGGCAGATTTTTTTGTTGTTAACTTTTGTTCAAAACTATTTGCAATGAGAAGTTCTGAGAACAATATCCAGACTTTAACATGTATCATCTTGAACTGACCAAGTAAACAATGGATTTCCTTCTAGTGTTGCTGGAAGTTAGGCTTCTTGAAAGACTTAATTATCTCAAGGCTTCTGGAGCATTACCATTTAAATTGTAGAAAGAATATAGGGGTTTAGGCACTGGTTTTAACTATTAAAATATTGTAGTTATCTAGTCTGTTAAATAGAATCTTTTACTGGGTTATATTATATCATCCAACACACTCAGAATTGCTTTTCAACACACTTTTATTTCTTTTTTTCTTTGGTATGTTATACATAGTGACTACTCTAGTGATTATTCTGACTGGACAGCCGATGCAGGCATCAATTTGCAACCACCAAAGAAAATTCCTAAAATTAAAACAAAGAAAGCAGAAAGTAGTTCAGAGGATGAAGAAGGACCTGAAAAACAAAAGAAGCAAATCAAAAAGGAGAGGAAGAAAGGGATTGAGGAGAAAGATGGACCATCAACATCACCAAAGAAGAGGAAACCCAAAGAGAGAAAACAAAAGGTGAGATGTTCTTGGTATATTACAGGATGCTTATTCCTGCTATAATTCAGTTATGTATACAACTGAATATTGTCTAATTTGTAAAGACATTGTGACTTCATAACAAATGATAATTACTGACTCTTGTAAGTCAATAAGACATTGCTGTAACGATAAGCTTTCTAAATGTGATGAACTTCAGTTAAGGAGCACTTCTTATATGCTCATCTTTTCTCAGAACAGAAACTTCCTTTATATTGAGTATTGGTATAACACATGCCTGGATTTTTTCAGCTATACTGAAAAATGTTTCCCCACTTAATTGCAGTTTTTTGGTTTCCACAGTCAAGTTTGTTTTTTTTTTTCTATCAATTCCACAACATATGATATTTGTATTGTGCCTGCTACTATACTTCCATCAAAGGGAATTTCACTTGATCACGTTTTTGTTGTCTGTGTTTTGTTTGCTTTCTAATATAACCACGTCATTCCAGTTTAGATCAGTACATGGAAATTCTCAGTGGCTTTTGTTACTTTCAGTGTGCTGTGGGTTTGGGGGGATTTGGCTTGTTTTTAACTGCTAGATCAGAAAACTTTGTTTCTTCATTCTTTCTTTACAGAGACCAGAACTGATCTGTCTCATAGATGCTAATTGCTATCATAAGCTCAGAGCTTCTGTTTTTGCAGTACCCAAGGAAACCATTTGTATCATCTAAGTAAATAATTGTACTGTTTATTTATGATTAGGAGTCCTCAGCATTCCTTAAGATCATTTCAGCATTTTGTCCCTCCTTAGAAGGCAGACTGACAAAACAGCTGGTTTTACATGTAGGTTGGCATGATATCAGCTTTACTGTAGATCTTTGATACAACATACAGGATGTTAGGTGGTAGTCATTACTCTTTGGGTAGGTTACTTTTTGTTTATTGTCGTTAGCTGTAGTGTCAAAAGTAACCAGAAGAATGTAGGAGATCAGGAAAATAGGTGGTGGTAGTGGTGGGGCTTAATGGTTGAAACTTCTGGTTTAGCTTTTTATTATAAGACTAGCTTTTTTTTAATTATTATTATTATTATGACTAGCTGACAGCCTAGTGTTTCCACTTAGATTAAAGATTTTTGGGAATCTTGCATCCATTTTGGTCCCAGTTACCAAGATACAGGAGGCCTTTGATTCTGAAAATATCAGACTTAGATACTTAAGATTTTAAAGATGACCTGCTGCTTTCTTGAATCATAAGAAAATATTGGAGGAGTCTGGAAGGAATACCAGAAAATCATTCCTCTTCTTCTGCCGCTAGGTAGGATTAATTATACCTATGATTCCTGACAGATGTCTGTCTTGGAAGTTTGTTGTGGTGGAGATTGTACCTCCTTCTAGGCAGAGAGCCCACAGTCCTTACTGGTAGAGAGTCCTCCCTGATCACTGGACCTCAATCAAAATGAAGGCTTTCCACTGAGGAAGGACGCTTTGACCATCTTTGTAGCCAGGCGCTGAATGTTGGGAGTTAAGAAAGGAGTAGAGAAAGAATGTCATCCTTCTCTCTTAATGTATGGGCAGTTAAGATCTTGAATGGTGCTTACGTTTCTCATCTCCCTCCATCAAAATGCAATCTAAAACATGACACAGCAGTGAAGGGCAAGAGAGGAGTACTGAGGACGATAAAAGGGTACAGACTATTTTTCCTTGGAGGCAGACACAGAGGCTGACTCTTAGAAGAGAGTTTGGAGGAGATACAATAAAAAAGCTTTTATAGAACTATGAATGAATTAGAAATGAATAAATGCAGAATGATTTACTTCCGTATTTTGTTACAGTGAGATGTAGCACCCAGTGACACGGACATGAAGCTCAGAAAGAGCCCTTTCCTCATTCCACCCAACCCTCTGAAAGCAAACAAAAACCCCAAATCACCTGAGTATGTAAGCAGGTTGTGGAACTAATTGCTCAAGGATTCAGTAGCATTTCAGTAATGATTAGGCAAATTCATTAGGACTAGTCTCTTGTTGATGATTAACCGAGTACAGGTTTGGCTTCCAGAGGGTCTTAAACTGGTGACTAATGTGCGAAGTTATAACAAGGGAAGATTTTCTGTTTAAAGGCTATTTCTTATTGCCTTACCATAATTCACTAATGAGCTAGACTGACTTTGCTCTGACACAGTGCATCCATTTCTCACAAGACAGACCTGCTTGAACCTCAGAATCCACAAATTGCTTCTGTTAGTGATTTATTGCAACGGAGAGGTTCCGTCTTGATTTTCTGTTTTATCTATGCGCTTTTTCCTGTGGGTACCCACCAGTGCTCCAGTGGTGTGCTCAAAGCAGTGCCCATCCTGCTGA